TTTGATTTGAACGGTTAAAAAAGATATCTTTCGCTTCTTTTTGGCCAAAGAAAATTATCTCATGATGACCAGCATATTCAAAACTACAGGTTAGAGCAAATATTTCAGATACGAAAATTTCGTTTCAGTAGCACTTTAAGGCTTTCGAGATAGCAAGGGAAGGCAGTCAAATGATGAAAAGTACAAAGGAAGAAAAAAGTCAAGACAAGGGCAACCCAGAGCTGAAACGAGTTTACACACCAGGCCAGTTCAGCTTGAGGAATAAAGGACCGAGTCACACCGCCGCCAACGCGCAAGCACAGAACAGCCTGCAGTGCACCAGGTGCGGGAATGAGGCACATGCCAACAGGGATACATGCCCAGCCACTGAAAGGAAATGTCTCAAGTGTGGGCGTCTGAACCACTTTGCCCGAATGTGCAAGGGCACGGCCAACTACAGAAGAGACAAGCAAGCCAACGCAGTGGATTGTGAGCAACACACCAACGCACACTGGGGGTATCAAGAAGAGTTTTTAGAAGAGATGTACTTGTACCAGCTGCAGCAAGGCAAATCACAGACTCCAGTGGTCGCCATTCACATCAATGGCATTCCCATCAGTTTACACTTAGACACGCAGGCTGATGTCACAGTCATCTCTGAAAAGCATTATGGAAAGCTTCGGACCAAGTGTCCCCTACGGCAAACCAGCATGGTGATCAGAAGCTACTCCGTAGCAGGCAAAGGCCTGGTGCTACCCATGCTTGGAAAATTCACAGCAGCACTAGTTCGGGGGGGGGGAAAGGAGACGTTAAAGCTTGTGTATGTAGTTAAAGGACAAGGTGACACAGCACTGCTAAGCCGTGGGGTCACTGAACATATGAGCCTCGTGGAGTATCACCTGGACCTGACAACAAGCTCACTATTACCAGTTGGGGGAAACGCGACAAGAGACCATTGATCTAGTTGAAGAGTACAAGGATGTGTTCATGGGTTTAGGAAAGCTAAGAGGAGTAACGGTGAAGTAACACAGGGACCCCAACACAAAGGGTGCAGTGAAGAAACAGAGAAGAGTATCTTTAGCACTCAAAGACAAATTTGATGAGATCTTGGACAAGTGGGAGAAAATGGATATCCTAGAAGATGTTGGAGATGAACCAAAGGAATGGTGCACCAATGTGGTTCTCACCCCAAAGAAAGACGGAGAAAACATCAGGGCAAGCTTGGACATGACAAATGCCATCAATCACATGAAGAGAACTAGACATGCCATCCCTACCATAAGAGAGC